CGTTAGCCTTCGGGAAAAAAAACAAGGGAATTAAATCCAAAAATATATACTAATTACAATTAATAATCTTACATTACACTCAAGTAAAACAATACAAAGGTTAAAGGTCTCATAATAAGGTTAAGTTCCACCCATCATACATATGGATTTTTTTTATTACTAACCCAAATGTATATTTTAATATTCTGTGGGCGTAGTTCTGCCCTCAGATATGCACTCGCACTTCAGTTCGTTTGAAAAGGAGCTGAGCAACTGTAGACCAAGGGTAAATGAAGGCTCCATGAGTGCAAAAAGGGCAAGTTAAGATTATTATGAGAACTTCAATTTTGCATTTTTTTGACATGAGTGCTTTAGCATTCCATTAACTGTCATTTGTACTTAATATAATATGGTTGTTTTATTATGTACAACTGTCTTACAATGCTAAAAAAGCCATATGTCGTTCCATTTTGTACAAAATACTGCATGCCTCAGAGGAATGAGCTTTTCTTAATAGAGAGAGCAGACATGGATTGTACACTCTTCAGGGGAGTGACCCTGGGCTCAATACTCAGTTGAAAGAAGCATAAACTCAACATATGAGGAGGAGAGGTACAGGTGGCCTTTCCACTTCCCCTAATCCTAGGCTGGCCAGGAACTGAAGTAGCTCATGGTGCAAGTTTAAGTACTCTAAGCAGGGCCGGCTCTGACTTTTTTGCCGCCCCAGGCAAAAAAGCCTCCTGCCACCCCCCACACCCCCAGGGCGGCAGGGGAGAGCACCGAGCCCGGCCGCAGGCCGCTCTCCCCAACCGGCCAGAGTGCCGGGGGGAGGGTGGCGAGCCTGCCGCGGCTCCGCTGGCAGCCGGAGCCCCAGGAGGAGGGCGGAGAGCCCGGCCAGGGCTCCGCTCTCCCCGGCGGCCGGAGCCCGTGCCGCCCCCCTCCAGGTGCCGCCCCAAGCACAAGCTTGGTGGGCTGGTGCCTGGAGCCGGCCCTGACTCTAAGGGATGCTGTAACTGGCTTGGAACTGCCCACTCTAGAAGCCATTATGCTGGTGAGGATCACAATGAACTCCAGCCCACAGAACAGCTCCGATATCGGGGCAGGGAGGGAAGAAGGAAAGGTGAGAAGCTCTGATGGCTGTACACCAGCTGAGGATTCCCCCATGGTGGGGAAAGCTTCAACTGCCCACTTAGGGGAGATTTAAGGCCCCTTTGCACCACTCCAGTAGAACAGATGGACATTAGTGGGTCCAAGGGTCTGATGATTTGTCTTTTTACATGTCGAGAGCATGTAGGACATTATTGGCAGTAAATAATTAACAATAGCTAAAAAAAATGGAGTTACTCTCATGAAGGCTGTTTTGATGTACATTGTGGATATCCAAAATTACTTACACTTTAACCACATTGCTAACCAACTAACAGTGCAGAACACTCAGGCATTTGAGATTTTTTTTAAACATTGCATATGGGTGTGATTCTGTCAGTCTTATATTAAATAGAATTTAGCTCTGAAAGTGGCTCCACTGAAATCAATGGGACAGCTTATTAAATAAGGCACTACTTGACGTAAGGGTGACAGATGTCCCATACTTAATGTCCACTCAATGGGATTCTGCTCTCTCCTGGGGACATTCTAGGAGTTAAACCTATCAATGCATTTTTGCCATTAATTATTTTTATAAGCTTTCCTTCCTTGGAACTTTAAGACTGACAGAATCATTTTTAAAAGACACAGACTGACATGGACTTTGCTAAGAGATTTATAAAAAGAATATTAAAAATTGTTCAGTAGATCACCTTTGTGCCAAGGCCAAATATAATGTTCTTTTAAACGGACAATGCTGAGGGTGACAAGCCACTCCAGCTGCTCCTCTCTCAACTAGCTCCTGACATAGGTGCCTTCCTTGAGACCTTCCTTGGGTAGCCCAGCCTTCAGTTTTTCTTTAAAAACGCATTAGATCTGACAGAAAACGAGACACCCGACTTTCTGCGGACAAGCTGGTGCACACACTATGGCAGAGAACATGCACACACTGATTTAGATCTTACAGGAAACCATGTAATGAAAATACTAAAGAAAAATTACATAAAACAATTAGATTTTAAAATCCTGAAAAGAATCCCAATTTGTTTTTATACAATACGAGCCACAGCAGCTTTATGAATAGGATATGAAATATGAATCATTCTCTGTCCATATACCAAAAAGGCTGTAAAGACAGATTAAGGACTATTTTCTTTACATGGCAAGAAAACTACTGATATGCAATTTTAGAGAGATGGGGAGCACCTGAAGCTATTTTTTCCTCTCCACAACCTAAACAGCCAGACTATTTTTTTTTAATTACATATAATTCATTCCCAAGATAAGATTTTGTAGGCAAGGTTTCAGCCACGAGCTATGTTTTTATGCCAAGCCCAAAACGGGGATGAATAACTAGAAACAGCAATAGAGTCTTAAATACTAGCTGTGCTACTGAGAGCCACTTCATATACTCAGAGAGATTATAAGGGAAGAAGCTTTTCCTCATGTGGATAAGTGAGACTGAACTTTTGCAGTCCCCTTAACAGATGTAATAGTCTTGAGGTTCCCTTTCAAGTTGTATTCTTTTTTTAAATCAAGACACTGAGGTCTCTTGTGGACATATGGAGTATTGCCATTATAGACAATATTTTTTTCTTGTAAACCTGCTGGGTTCTTCTGACCTCATGTCATCCTAACAAAAAGTTACCTTCTGTCTATTCCTGTTAAATGATCAAAAAGCAGGATTTCTGCCTTGTCTCCCAGATCAAAACACCAAACGTGGTTGGAATATTGTGTTACTTGCAGTTTAGTGCTCTGTTTCTCGCTCCAACCCATCTAAGCTTGAAGCTCTGTATAGAGAAGCACAGAGGCAACAGAGATGGGGCAGATGTGTATATTTGATTAAAAATTAATAAAATACTTGGTTTGGAGTGTTTCTGCAGTGGGAACATGCCACTGATACCACAGCTGTCATAGACTTATCATCCAGCTTCCCAAGAATTAGCTTCACTTTACAAACAAACACTGCACAGACACATTGTGTGGGAAGAGGGGAGAAATACAAATCATTTTTAATCATTGATTATTTTAACACACTCAAAACTTCTACAGCATCCATCTGGAAATAATACTAAGAATGCTACTGAATTTCCTGGACTCTCTGGGAAATTCAGGATGAAGAATAGTTTCACAAATTAAGTCCCCTTACAAAATAAGTCTCAGGCACATTTATTTTAATAAACTTTTTCACCTGCTATTTAACTGTGTTCCCAGAGAAAGCAAAGCTTTCAAAGTTATCTAATGGCCAAAGATGACAAACACTGGTCTGTTTCATGCCTGAATAAAGTTACTCTGAGTGGAATCAAAATGCTAAATGGCCATGGTCAGAATCATATTTTCAAGCCTAAGAAAGCAGTTTGTGGCATGTTGTCTCAGAAGAACTTCTGAATTCAAAGTAAGTGCAGCATAGAGATTTAGTAAAAAACATTTCAGCAACATACTTTTCTTTCTGTGTCTGTCTTTTAACAGGGAACCATAGCTTGAAATCTAATCAGCTAAAAAAACTAATTAAAAAATACATTTAACCAGGCCCTGAATTCCACTGCCCTTTTTTTTGGGGGGGGGGGGGGGGGGGGG